CCAGGGTGGAGACTTGCATTTTAAAAATTTTCTCAAGAGAGTCTGATATACTTCAAAGCATAGAACTCTTCCAAGGCTGGGAAGTTATAAAGAAAATGTAAAGACAGGAAATCTGGTAATGTATATAATGTGATAGAGTAAGTCATACAAGTGTGAAATAATTACCAATAGAAGGCAGGAAAGTACTAAAAATACAGATTATAAAATTTTAATGAAATTTCTTATCTAGCATCCATGACCTATTGAGGAACAAGAACATTATAAAGTAAAGTGCACTTTATTGATATCTGCCAATATCTGAGTGGTAGAGCAGTCATTCTAGAAAAAAACTACTGCTTATTGCCCCTTATGTAAGTTACTTACAATGACTTCAAGTAGTATGGTGGATAATGCGTTGCTCCATTTACTAAGGTTATCTATCTATCTATCTATCTATCTATCTATCTATCTATCTAATCGATCATTATCATCCATCTATCATCATCATCTATTAAAATGAATGGCTGGTGCAGAGGACTATGACCTATAATTTTTCAAAACAAGAAGGTTATTTTCAACTCTTGCTTTTAATGCTCATCAGTCAACATCATCCTATATTCGTGGAAAATTTTTCTCTTCCTTCAACCTAAAATGCCTTTCTCAGCACTCTTGCACATTAATTTTCTAAGTATACAGTAAGCTCAAATTGGCTGTCTATGTTGTTATGCTGGGTATTTATACAGAGACTCTTGCTCTTGACAAGCAATGCAAGTATATATTTCTGGCAAATCAAATGACCAAGTTGTAAAATTAGTAATCCATGAATTCGTCATGTGTACATCTATCTTATCATAATTGTCATAAGTAACTATGCTGGGTAGTTAAAAAAAAGTGTATTGCCTAAATTAGGTCATTAAAAATGGTTAATACATATATTTTCAAGTTAAAATAATTTGAGAAGGATGCAGACTTACTGCAAGGATTCTAGGGTTTTCACTTCATTACATCTCTAGGGACTATCCAGCATTTGACCTACTTTTGACCTCTGTACAAAGCAGGATGGTAGAATAGATAGGGCTTGGGATTGTTATCAGAGGATATGGTTATGGCCCTGCTTCTGTCAATTATTAATCATGTTATTTTGGTGTGAGACTTCGACATTTGGCAATAAAAGTTACTATTAGTAGATGCCTAAAATGTTCCAGAAACTTTCTTAAGTGTTTATTGGCCTTATGTCATTTAATCCTCATATTAAGTATGGTGTCATTCTCCCCATTCTATAGAAGAACAAATTGAGGTCCAAGGAGTTGTGCAATTTTCTCAAGGTCAGACCTCTGGTGAGTAACACTCAGATAATGAACTCCAGTTTACCTGTCTCCATGGCCCGTGGACTTAACCACTGTGAAATACTGCCTCTCAAAATGTATGGAATAAGGAAAATATATCTCATATATTTTCTTTTAGAATTTGCAATACCTGATATAAATGTTATTGTTAAGAGGATAGGTAAGTAAGCTCAATTTTTTTCTTTTTTCTTTTTTTATACTTTTCAGATAAAGGGAACTTAGAGGATGAATCAGCTTTGTAACAAACAACTCCAAAACTTATTAGCCTAGATATAGTCTTGTTTTAGCTCATAATTTTGTGGGTCAGTGCATTTGGGCTAGGTTCAGCTGGACAGTTCTTCTGGACACATACATAAGAGCAAGGCAGTTCTGCTTCTGGGACTTAGCCGTGATTCATCTGGGGCAGAGATAGAAGTTTTAGCTGTCAGGGGCACTCTATTTCTTTTAGGTATTTATTTCTTTTAAATCCTTGCTCTATTATATCCTCTGACTTGTTTCCTAATACTGGTTCTCTTTGTAGCAAATCTGTGTTATGTGTGTGTGTGAGAGAGAGACAGAGAGAGAGAGAGAGACAGAGATTGAGAGATACTGGCATATATGTCTCTCATCATCAAGCAGGGCAGTTAAGACTTATTCTCATAGCACCAGGGTAAGGTTCCAAAAAAGAGAGAGGACAGAAGTATGCAAGACCTTTTGAAGCCAAGGCTTTAAACTGGTACAACATCACTTCCACCTCATTCTGTTGGCTAAGGCAAGTTACAAAGCCAGTGCAGATTCAGAGGTTGGAGAAAGAGATTTGTTGGGAGAAGATGCAAAGTCACATTATAAAGGGGGCATATCTATAGGGTGGGATGGGCAATTGTGGCCATTTTTTAATCTGCAGAGGAATTGTGTCCATGAATATATGGCTCTTTGAAGGTGAAGAATATTTTTAAAATCCTTATACTGAACTTTAAAAGAGTTAATTTGTTCAACTGTTAAACTTTCACAAGTATGTCCTCCTGACTGTCACAATGTGGCTTAATGAGATCAATCCACGTTTCTGGTGGTGATGTAGTGCTCCCTGTCGGTAGTCCTTCTGTGATGCTGACTGGAGGACATAAAGAAAGCAGCATTTCAATTACTTCTCAGCCAGGGGTAATGTCCATGGAGTCTTTTAAATCCTTGCTCCTCACAGGCCAACAAAGGAGATCACAACTGTTTGTTCCACCTCAGTTTTCCATTGCCATCTTTCAAAAATTTGCTTTCTTTTCACTTTTATCTGTCTTTTACAGAAGCATCAGGGAGTTAGTTAGCTGGAGGGGTTTTCTGTTCTCTCCTGTCTTATATAATGAAGCCTGGATATTTGTCTTAGGATCTTCCCCTCTTATACTGACCAGAAAAAAAAAAAAAAAAAAAAAAAAAAGAGAGAGACTGTATTTCATTCACTGCTTTGTTTATCAAATCTCCATTGGTATGCACATCTCTTCCTTCTATCTTTCCACATTCTTATTTTCAAACTTATCTGAAATGTTCTCTGGTTTCACATCTAGTGCTTTGTGAATCACAAGAAAAGTCTGAATTCTTCTAAAAGACGATCCTCTTGTCGATGTGATTATTTCTAGATAGCTTATATAACCTCAGGCTCAAATTGATTCATTAGACCTTTGTTTTCTCATTTCCCTTCCATGAGTCTTTTGCAGCATTCCCCACCCCCCCTTTGGTTTCTCTGTAGATCCCTCATAATACAAATTTAATTTTATCAAGCTAAAGGCTTCCATTATTGAGTTCTGCCATCTGTATGAGTTATCTTTCTGGAAGTCTTATAATTTAATGTGAATATTTCCTCCATTTAAATTAAAAGGGGTAATTCATGTAAAACATTTTGCACATAGTAAGATCTCAGTAAATGTTATCTATTATTATAAATGCTTCTGTTACTACACTTACTATTGCTAATTTATTTTGAAGCAAACCATATGCCTTTTTCTCCCTATTGAATTTACATTAAGCTATATAAGGAACCATCTAGATAATATGAGAATGTATGTTATAATTTGAATATAATTTTTCTTTGGAAATTTTCTGGCAGTTGAAATTTACTATCACTTATTTTAAGAAATGCCTCAGAGATTGATAATAGTACTAAACTAGAATCACCCCCTCAGCAGTTAAGCTTTACACTTGTGTGTGTGTGTGTGTGTGTGTGTGTGTGTGTGTTAGTAAAGGCAAATTTCTGTTGTCACAAGGCTGGGTCCATATAGCTGTTCCTGAGGTTATTACCACACATGGACTGACACACTGTTAGTATATTTCTTATGAGTGGATACATATCATATTATCTTACATTGGTTTCCTAGACATTAATAACCTTCCAGACACTTTTTAGTTCTTTACTTTTAATGATCTACTGTCCTAACAGATAGGTGTTCTCTTAAGGAACTGTTTATATTTAACTGTCCACCTTACAGTCCTATATATTGTGAAAACTTTCTTATATAGTAATTCATAACTCTTGCACTTTCTCAATCACGGTGTCAATATTGATATGTTTTTCAAAGAGACTTCTTCCCATGTACAACCTGGTGTTTTACCTACTCCACGGATTTCGATCCTTTCAAGCTATACCTGTGGAATAGAGTCTCTCTCTCTCTCTCTCTCTCTCAATATACATACAGACACAAAAACACATGCTCTGTTTGGTGGTGTGAAATGGTATGGGTTGAACTGTGTCCCAGCACCATCCTCCTCCCCCCACCAAAACAGAAAGATGTTGGAGTCCTAGCCTCCAGGGCCTCAGGGTGTGACCTTATTTTGGAGATAGGGTCTTTACAGAGGTGATCAAGTCAAAATGAAGTCATTAAGGTGGGCTCTAATTTGTTATGACAAGTGTTCTTACATAAAAAGGGATACACAGACATGCATAGAGGGAAAATGATGTGAAGAGACACAGGGCTAAGAATGCCATCTGCAAGCCAAGGACAGAGGCCTGGAATAGGTTCAGTTCTCACAGCCCTCAGAAGGAACCAATCCTGACCACACCTTAATTTCTACCTTTTGCCTCCAGAACTGTGAGATCATAAATTTCTGCTGTTTAAACAGTCCAGTTTGTGGTACTTTGTTATGGTAGTCCTAACAAACTAATACAAGGCCCAATAAAAATTTGAGAGGAAGAAATTGGCTAATTAGATAATTGCTTTGGTACTTGGATATCTGTAGCTCGCCTCTGTTGCTTCTGATAAAGAAACCTGAATTTTCACTTGCTAGAGCATTATGTTCCTGGAATAAACTTTTTAAACTTGTTTTGTTTTATATAACCATGATGTGGTGACTGGAGACCTACATTTGACTGGAAAGAGCAAGCCAGAGCCATGTGTAAGACGCGAGAAACAAGACTCACTTGTCACCTGTAAGTAGACCTATCTCTCCCATCAGCTGTCATTAAGGAAAAAAAAAAAAAAGGAATTGGTCTTAGAGATGCTCTCTCACTTGTTGGGAGGGGTGGGGCAGTGGGAAGAGAAAGGGTGTGGAGAGTGGGGTGTAAACAAGGCAGGCAGAAGCTCCAGAGAGGGTGGGGATAGAGCTTCACGGAAGAAAAATATATGAACCTGGTTGGTACAAGAGAGCTTCCCCAGACCCACCCACCCACCCACCCTTTCCTGAGCTCTGTGCTCTGGCGCGGGTGGTTGACGGCGAGTGGTGCGGAAGGGACAGCTCTAGCAGCGGCTGCTTTCGGGGGAGAAACAAAACCTGCAGGTCCGGGTCGGAGCCGGGGGACTTCCCCTTCCAGTGGGTGAGCCCTCCTGACCTCCGGTCAGCTCCGCTGTGGCCGCGGCCAGCCGCTGTGCCGGCTCCCGGCGGGGTCGCGGAGCGCCGGCTGGACCCGCCCCGAGCTCCATGGTTTGCCCAGCCCTGCGCGATGGTGACTCGGGGCGCGGAGGTTGGCGCGGGGCGAGCCGGCAGCTCGCAGAATGAAGGCGGGGAGCGCGGCCGGCGGCCGGCGGGGGCTGGCTCCGCGACCCCAGCGCCCCGAGAAGCGGCCCAACCACCTGAACCCGGAAAACGCCAACAAGTAGTTTCTCGTTGGAGAAGGGCGGCTCGGCTGGGTGTCAGGACTCAGTCCGGCTGCCCGGAGAACCTCGTCCACTCGGAAACCAAAGCAGAACCACTTTTCTGTCGGTCTCGTTAAGGTATCTGGGGGCGGGAGGGAAAGGGGGTGATTTGCCGGGAAGGGCATGGTGACCCTGCAGACAGGCATCCCCCCACCCCCCTCCCGTTCCGCAATGGGAATGTGGAGGTGAAGCCCTGGGGAGAGGTGGCTGGGAGACTGGAAACGGGGACACTGTCAGCTCAGGGATCCGGGGGGTGTGCCTCCAGCGGCTTTTCCCAGGGCCTCGCCCCTCCTAGAAAGCAACCCCCCCACTCTGCATCCCCCAGGCGTTTGTTTTTCTTGGGAAGGGGGATGGGGTGGGATGCACTGATCATTCGTATTCTCAAAAATGGAACCTAGTTAGTGGTTTCCTTTCCCAAGTAATAATAATATTGACAACAACAACAACAGTAATAATCTGAAAAGGAAATTGGATCAGGAAATTAGTCACAGGTCTCCTTGGTGAAAGGCAACAGCAGGGAGCGTTCAGTCTTTTTGCCTGGTCCGTGAGGGAGAGGGGGAGTGAACCGAGAACAGGGCACGCAAAGGGCACTCCCCGAGTGCCAGGGCGCTGCGAGCCGTCCCGAGTACCGAGGGTACGCGTGGAATGGGGGCTCTCCCGCCCGACTGGGGGCTCTCACCCAACACTGCCAAGTTGCCTCAGCGGAGAAACTCCTTGGCTAAGGGAACTGCCTCCAGGCCAAGGAAGGAGGAAAGAGGGTTTAGGGGAGGGGAGCAGAGGGGCCAGGGCAGGGGGAGAGTAAGGAGCAAGAGAGGAGGAGAAAGGTCTAGGAAGTAGAGATAAGGGCTTTGGGGCGAGCAGAGGAGAGGAGTGGGGGTTCGGGCCTAGAAGCAGGTTCTCTTGAGAGGGGACGGAGGGGAGGGAGGGTGAAGGGTGAAAAGATGAAGTAGGAGAGATCAGAGGAAGGGGAGAAAGGGGTGAGGCAGGAAAGGTGTCCTGGAAGGTCAGGGGGGCTGGGACCACTTTCCTCGGTGTTCTGGAAGCCTGGGGAAGGTGTGCTGCTTGAGGCGGGGACGGGGCTGGGCGCGCATCTCCTTCTGGGGGGGCCAGTTGCCCCTCGCCTGTCTCCAAGCCGGCATCCTGGGACTCGGGCTCGGAGTGGGGGCGGGGGTCATGGTGCGGCTCTGACGGCCGAGATCTTTAACTGGGCGCTGTGTTCGCCTCCCCCCAGTCATGTCTGAGCCACAGAGATGGGCAAGATCGAGAACAACGAGAGGGTGATCCTCAATGTCGGGGGCACCCGGCACGAAACCTACCGCAGCACCCTCAAGACCCTGCCTGGGACGCGCCTGGCCCTTCTCGCCGCCTCGGAGCCCCAGGGCGACTGCCTGACGGCGGCGGGCGACAAGCTGCAGCCGTCGCCCCCTTCGCTCTCGCCGCCGCCGCGACCGCCCCCACTGTCCCCCGGGCCGGGCGGCTGCTTTGAGGGCGGCGCGGGCAACTGCAGTCCCCGAGGCGGCGGCGACCACCCCGGGGGCGGCCGCGAGTTCTTCTTCGACCGGCACCCGGGCGTCTTCGCTTATGTGCTCAACTACTACCGCACGGGCAAGCTGCACTGCCCCGCCGACGTGTGCGGGCCGCTCTTCGAGGAGGAGCTGGCCTTCTGGGGCATCGACGAGACGGACGTGGAGCCCTGCTGCTGGATGACCTACCGGCAGCACCGCGACGCCGAGGAGGCGCTCGACATCTTCGAGACCCCCGACCTCATCGGCGGCGACCCCGGCGACGACGACGACCTGGCGGCCAAGAGGTTGGGCATCGAGGACGCCGCGGGCCTGGGGGGCCCCGACGGCAAGTCTGGCCGCTGGAAGAGGCTGCAGCCCCGCATGTGGGCCCTCTTCGAGGACCCCTACTCGTCCAGAGCCGCCAGGGTAAGGCCAGAACCGCCCCCTTCCCTGCTGCTCCAGCCCCTCCAACTCCTTCCCCAATTTTCTGCTCTTTTCCATCAAAGGCCTCTGGGACGCGGGAGGGGGTGGGCGGGAGAAGAGAACAGGGCTCCCTAAGGAGGAGATTAGAAGCCCATCTGGTGTCAGGTAAACTCAGAGACCCTGGCTGCCATCCTCCCGGTCCGTCCCCTTCATCCTCCTCTTCTCCTCCTCCACTCAAACTGAGATTTACTTTAGCAGATGGGAGCTAAAGGGCAAATATCGACCTCTCGGGAAGCAAGTCTGTCTGGAACCTTGTCCTGAAACTGGTGTCGTGCTTCGTCCTGATTCTTTTTTTCCTGACTCTTTTGTTCCAACTTTTCCTTTAGTTTGGATGTTTCTTCAGGTCATCACGATTTGACATTTTCAGTGAGGCCTGACACTCCTTCACATCTGACTCAAAGCATTGGCTCCAATTAGGGATCTAATCTGAAGACAGAGGTGGGGAAATGGAATCTAGTAGGTGGCTGGGTGGGGAGAGGGTGTGCGCTGGGGGGAGGGGGGGTCATTTTGTGAAGAGAATCTCCTTCCAAAGGAGAAAACTGCTGAATTGTTTGTCCCAGTGAGTTGACCAGAGAGCCCACCTGCACATTGAATTGTGGAGTCTGGTCCTTTCCGCCTTGGGCTGTATCTATGTTCCTTACAGGTTGAATGTGAATCGGTCACTTTGATGCTAGTTTAGTCCAGTTGTCTAAATCTGGGTAATTTAGATTGTTGCAAACTTTATTTTACTCTTTAGATTGTGACTCCGTCCTCAATTTTGCTTTTCAGTTTCTAGCTTGAATGACAGTTTAAATTTAGTCCTTGACACTCCCAATTAATTCTTCAGAATCCCATGAAGGGACTGTAAAAGTTACCAATAATAGTTTCTCCAGTTTAAAGGAAATAAAAGAAATATAAATAACCGAAAATTATACAGTATGTGAATGGTGTTTAATTATACACAAGAATGGAGTAGTGTATTTAGTTAAATCTTTGCGACTGCATGTTTCTGGTTTGCTTCTGACGCCCAGAAAAAATACCCCCTAGGCAGCCTCACTTTGGCTCCATCCTCATTATTGTCTTCTTCTGTATGTTAGAAGTCTCTGCATCTGAGATATTGTGCAGCTGTCAATCTAATAACTTCTCAGAAGATGTGTTTTTGATACCACTTTGGAAGGCTGAGGATATGTTTTGTTTTCAGTTTGAAATAGAATATGAAAGAGACAATTTCAAGCATTGCTCCTCTGTTGGTTCTAGCATTTAAATGCATACATAAATTTTAGTATGTCCACATTATTATATTTGAATATAGAATCAATAACTTCAACTCTGATATCTTCCTTTTAAGACCATTCTATAAATTCAGCAACAGTTGGATTTAAAGCAAAAACAAAAACAAGTGCGTATTTACTTAAGTTAAATCACAGACTCATGACAATTACATCTGTGTTTTTTTCAATTCCAGCTGAGTGCCACAGTGCTCTTTCCACTTGGTGGCTAAAAAGATAATCTGAATTTGTTTTTAAGCTCATCGTGTGATTTTTCTTTTCCAGATAGCGCGCTATAAAAGAGACAGAACGTTTTATTATCTTTCCTCATGATAATATAATGTCTTTTATTGTAGGCTAGATTGCATAGCAAAAACTTTATGATGGTATTCAATTTTTATTATTGCTATGGAAATTGATTTTATTGATTATTGGTCAAAGGGTAGATTATTAACTTGAAAATAGTTTTTAAAAAATCTTACTAAGATTTCATTGTAACAATATTAAGAGTTTGGTATGCATCCATTTCAGGTGAGGAAAGAACACAGATATATTAGAGATTAACACAAGGTCAAAGAGCCATTAGAAGCAGAATCAGCTGAGAATCACAGACCTGGAAATTTTCCTTGAGGTCACTTTATGAAGACCCTTTATTTTATAGATGAGGAAAATGAGGACTGCAGATGCTAAGTGATGGCCAAGGTCATACAGCAAGTTAATAGCAGATCCAAAATTATGCTGGAGGTCTCATGACATCCTCCCCAGGTCCTTCTTTACCACAACCACTGATTATAACTGACTGGCTTATGAAATCTCCGCAGATCATGTTGCTCTTGAGATTTAATGCAGCATAAGACACTTCCTAGAATTTGAACTTTGAAAGGTCATCTATGACTTTTTAAAAAATTTATGTATTCCAGGACTTTGACTGGTAGAATTTTTACCCTTCACTGCCCAACATTAGAGTGAAAATATGGAATTCAAATTGACTTCTTGAACCCTGTTTGAACTTTGCATTTTTATTGACCAGTCGATGTGTAGTGTTTTTCTTTCTTTTAGACTGGCTAACATCTATGGGACTTGTCTTCAGGGAAATCCCTTTTCAAATTATTAGGGGTTGCCTAAAAAAGAGTAATCAGAAGTTGCCGTTCTACTTAAATGTGATTTAATATTTTTATATGAACTCTTAGTTCAGATGATGGCCTGACTTAATGTTATCTGACTAGTTTGATAAATAGAATTACATTGGGAGGTCACAGGATGAAATTATATTTTGCACGGACATGATTCTAGAAGACATAAATCAATTATCAAGTGTGGTAATTTATAGGTAACTTCAGCTGTGGTCTTACTGCCACAAGTCTCGTTCTTAATAGAAGTTAAGTATTTAACTTTTATAAACCCTCTTTACTTTTTTTTACATTAGTTCATCTTTTATTGATATACTTGAGATGAACATTTTTAACTGTCTGAATTCCTTTTTCAGTTTGTTATACCTGTCATCATCATCTTTATCTTTTCCCAATATTGAGGAGATTGACTCAATTATATAGTAGAAGTGTTTTATTTCTAACCTTTATGATCTTAAGTGCCACACTGAAACAACAGTGATAGGAACGGGATAATTAACTTAATTTTATAACATTGTATTTTTGCTTTCTGTTTTGGTTGGCATTTCCCGCTTCTATTGCTTTATATTTATGATGTAAATACATATTTGAAAGGTCAAGATTGTCCAGGTTAACTTGGTAAGTAAGTTTATATTTATACTTAAATGAATTCTTATCCTTAAGAATAGTATTCCAAAATAGAAATTTATAAAAAAAATCACATATAAGTTGTCATGGAAACCTGTTCTGGAGAAAATGAGATCAGGAAAGAAAAGGAGAGATTATGCTGTTGATGCCATTGAGTGATATTTACAAATAGCAAAAATCAAGGATGCCTAGATGTATTTGTGAAAATGTTATGCATTGTATCTTTCCAATTTAATATCTAAGCTTAAGAGGGAAATGAAGCTTGTATGTGCTTTCCTCTGAAAACATTAGATCATAGGTAAGTAGACGGGTGTCAAGCAGAAATTCTTTGATAGAACTTCTAGATTATTTAGAAGTTAAAAAAATAAGATAAAGGCAAAATACTAGAATCAAAATATTTTAAATAATTTCCTCCCTATATTAAAGAGCTGAGAGCTGTTCTAAGTTCTCCTTATCTCTCTTCTTTTTACTTATTTTTTGGGAGGAGTGAAGGTGATTGAATTAGGTTCTACTTTACAGGGTGGCTCTTCCTTGGTGACTTGTATATAGTTGGTTAGCTGATAGGACATTTTTTTAATTTAAAAGAGCATTTTATTTTATTATTTATTTATTTATTTATTTAGAATTTTATTTATTTATTTAAGAGAGAGGGAGAGAGTGAGTCGGAGGGAGAGAGAGAGAATCTGAGGTAGACTCCCTGATGAGTACAGAGCCCTATACTGGGGCTCGATCCCATGACCATAAGATCATGACCTGAGCTGAAACCAAAAGTCAGATCCTCAACCGACCGAGCCACTCAGGTGCCCCTAAACAGTAAAAAGAATAACTGCTATGGAACCACATTTAAGATGTTGGCTTTTTGGTCTTTGGGTCTAGATCATTTTATATACATTCTCTGGATCTTTATCTAATATATCATTATGTGCAGATCATCCTGAATCATACATGGGTTGTGATAGTGAATCCATCATTTTTTTAATCTTGAAAATCTTCACTTCATTAGCATTTTAAATTGGTTTATTTCCACAGCATTATTAAAATATACTCCTCAAAACTATTAAAATTCAAATTTCAACATATAGAATTGGATTCAGAATTGCACATACTTTATTTACTTTTTACAGATCATTTTTTCCTCTTCCTCAAACCACAAAACAAAATAGTAAAGAAATGATCTAAATAACCACTTGCTAGCTTAAAATGTACAATTTAATTTAAAAAAAATTAAAGTAAGGGTAATTGAGGCATATTTTAAGATTAAAGAAAAAAGTATTAATTTTTCTTTTGTAAATATTGCTCCAATTCAAAGAATTATCGGCCAAATACAGCTTGTTCATATAATATTGTTGTCAGTTATTACAAATTTTAGAATATTTATTTAGTCAACAAATATTGGTTATGCAGTCACTCAACTATGGAAGTTACTGGGAATGAATGGAGAAGATATAGTCCTTTGCCCTCAGTAAGCTTACCACCCTATTTATAATGAAACATTTCTTAAAAACATTATTAAATTAAGAAATGCAAAAAAATTCCAGAGATGTTAAAGATAAATTTTCCTCAAAAAACAAACAACAACAAAAACAACTCAAATGGGAATATTGCCTGACACATTAAGGAAAACATTCTATTTAGAAATGATGATAAGATATTGTTAGTCTTTTTCTTATTATGAAAGTGTTAGGCTGTTTTGATCTTGATTTTTCTGTTTGTAAGGTGATTTATAGGCTCTGTCTTTGCAATATTATTGGAGAATGTGATGAAGGCTGTACTTATACAAAACAACCAAACTATTTAGGGTGTGGTCACGTGTCTTCATACCTTCCATTTTAATTAAAGGTCATGGTCAGTTATATGGCAGTGCAAATCCAAACTTCGGATCTCTGAAAAAAGTCTGCTGTAAGTAGTATGGTGTTTTTGCATTTGCGCATATGAATAT